TTACTCTTTACACTTTAAGTCTTACTTAAATTTTTTATTTTCTTTAATAAGTTTTATAATATTAATATAATATTTATTACGTAAACCTTAAAGTTTATTATTAGTTTCTTACTTATAAGATAATTAATTATTATTATTATTTAGCTAGATAATAATTATTAATATCTTTATCTTAGTATAAATAATATTCTAGTTAAATTCTTTATTTTATTATTAAAGCATTTTAATATTATAGCTAGTAATTCGAAAGCTCTCTATTAAAGTCTTTAATTTATTATATTAAGTATTAAGAGTATTAATAACGCTTTTTATAAAGTTCTATAAATTAATAATAAATATAAAGATTATAATTAACTCTTCTTCGATAATATCTATAAATTATATTTCGATATAATCTAAACTAGATTTAATAGTATATCTTCTAGAGATAGAACGCTTTTTCTTATATTATACGAACGATCCAGCTTTACTAATATTTAGAATCTTTTTATTAAAGTTCTTAAGTTCTTCTAAATAATAATATATTTATAACTCACTTATAATAGTTTAACTTTAAATGTTATCTAAATTTAGAGTTAAGGGATATATAGTTAATATTAAATTAGTAGGCGTATAAAGGAGGTTTAGTCTAGAGTCTATTTCTTTTAATATACTAAAGATATCTATTTCTTTTAAATTCTTATTCAATCTAGCCAGATTAGCCTTTATATAAATAAAAGACTTTTTTTTAAATAATCTTTTAAGTAGTAAACTCCTTCAGCTATAGCTATTAACTTCTTAATAATATACTTTCTTCTTAGCTATACGTTTAGTATAATTAATAAATAGATTATTATTACTTTAGAAGAAAGATAGATAGTATTATATTAGAGACTTAATAGTATATATAATAATTCTATATTATAGTATAAAGAGAATACTATTTATATAGAATTATTATAAGTATAGGCTTTATAGTAAGATAGAAAGGCCGAAAGGCCTTAATACGCTAAGTCTAATTGGGTTATAATATAAGTAAGATCGTAAGATCGTTGAAACCGTAATAGATTACTATTATTAAAAAATTATTATTATTAAAAGATAATAATAATTACTATTAATAAAAGATTACTATTATTAAAAGATTACTATTATTAAAAGATTATTATTATTAAAAAATTACTATTATTAAAAGATTACTATTATTAAAAGATTACTATTAATAAAAGATTATTATTATTAAAAAATTATTATTAATAAAAGATTACTATTCTTAAAAGATTACTATTATTAAAAGATTATTATTATTAAAAGATTACTATTAATAAAAGATTATTATTATTAAAAAATTATTATTAATAAAAAATTACTATTTTTAAAAGATTACTATTATTAAAAGATTATTATTATTAAAAGATTACTATTATTAAAAGATTATTATTATTAAAAGATTATTATTATTAAAAGATTACTATTATTAAAAGATTATTATTATTAAAAGATTATTATTATTAAATAATTATTATTAAAAGATTATTATTAATAAAAAATTATTATTAATAAAAGATTATTATTAATAAAAGATTACTATTATTAAAAGATTATTATTATTAAAAGATTATTATTATTAAAAGATTACTATTATTAAAAGATTATTATTATTAAAAAATAATAATAATTACTATTATTAAAAGATTATTATTATTAAAAAATTACTATTAATAAAATTTTATTATTATTAAAAGATTACTATTATTAAAAAATTATTATTATTAAAAGATAATAATAATTACTATTAATAAAAGATTACTATTATTAAAAGATTACTATTATTAAAAGATTACTATTATTAAAAAATTATTATTATTAAAAGATTACTATTATTAAAAGATTACTATTATTAAAAGATTACTATTATTAAAAGATTATTATTATTAAAAGATTACTATTATTAAAAAATTATTATTATTAAAAGATTACTATTAATAAAAGATTATTATTATTAAAAAATTATTATTAATAAAAGATTATTATTTTTAAAAGATTACTATTGTTAAAAAATTACTATTATTAAAAGATTATTATTATTAAAAGATTACTATTATTAAAAGATTATTATTATTAAATAATTATTATTAAAAGATTATTATTAATAAAAAATTATTATTAATAAAAGATTATTATTATTAAAAGATAATTATTATTAAAAGATAATAATAATTACTATTAATAAAAGATTATTATTATCAAAAAATTATTATTAATAAAAGATTATTATTAATAAAAGATTACTATTATTAAAAGATTATTATTATTAAAAGATTATTATTATTAAAAGATTACTATTATTAAAAGATTATTATTATTAAAAAATTACTATTATTAAAAGGTTACTATTATTAAAAGATTATTATTATTAAAAAATTACTATTAATAAAATTTTATTATTATTAAAAGATTACTATTATTAAAAAATTATTATTATTAAAAGATAATAATAATTACTATTAATAAAAGATTACTATTATTAAAAGATTACTATTATTAAAAGATTACTATTATTAAAAAATTATTATTATTAAAAGATTACTATTATTAAAAGATTACTATTATTAAAAGATTACTATTATTAAAAGATTATTATTATTAAAAGATTACTATTATTAAAAAATTATTATTATTAAAAGATTACTATTAATAAAAGATTATTATTATTAAAAGATTATTATTATTAAAAAATTATTATTAATAAAAGATTATTATTTTTAAAAGATTACTATTGTTAAAAAATTATTATTATTAAAAGATTATTATTATTAAAAGATTACTATTATTAAAAGATTATTATTATTAAAAGATTATTATTATTAAATAATTATTATTAAAAGATTATTATTATTAAAAGATAATTATAATTAAAAGATAATTATTATTATTAAAAAATAATTATAATTAAAAGATAATTATTATTATTAAAAAATAATTATAATTAAAAGATAATTATTATTAAAAAATTACTATTATTATTAAATTTATATTTAAATTATTATTATTATTATTATTATTATTATTATTATTATTATTATTATTATTATTATTATTATTATTATTATTATTATTATTATTATTATTATTATTATTATTATTAGTAGAGAGAATAAATCTTAAAAGAATAATTCGATATTATTAAACTATCTAACTACTTACTCGATTTTATTAAATATCTATACTATATTATTACTCTTTATATCTTCTTTCTTCGACTTATTAGACTTATTTATAATTATTATTTAAATATAATATTAGAAAGATTCTTTAGAAAAAATAAAGAATTTCTTATTTTTTTTCGCTTTTATAATCTTATAAATTCGCTATCTTCTAAAAAGTTTATATTAAAAATATATATTAGAAAAATAGTTTTAATAAAATAGAAGAATATATATCGTTAAAGAATATCTCGAAAGTATATATTATAGTAATACGATGCTAGCTAAATATTATAGAATTTAAGTTTTTACTCTTTAGAAATATTATAATATTAGAAAATAATCTTATAAAAATTAAATAGATATATATATTTTTTTTAATTAGAATATAAAGATTATTAACGCGTAATTAGAGTTAAAGTTTTAATATTACTTATTAAATTAATTATTAAAAATAAATAATTAGAAAATAGCTTTAGAAAAAAAAAAAAAATTCTATTTTATACTCGTATTTATATAATAATAAGTTAAGATTATTTAAATTAATTAGAAGTTTATCTTTAATTAGATATAACTATTATTTATTAATTATAAAAGATATTAATAATTATTTAGAATTTATAAAGAAATATATTTTATATTCTTTATTATATATATAACACTTTAAATTATATTCGATCTTTTAAAAAAACTTCGCCTTAAGAATTATTTAGAAAAAATAAATAAAAAAGAAAAGATTGCGATAATATTATAGCTTCTCCTTCTTATTTAAATTCTTATTTATAAATTTTAAATTATCGCTTTAGCAATCTTAATATCTAATATAATAACGCTTTCTTTAAAAAAAACGTAATATTAAATTTTCTATTCGAAAAAATAGAATAAATAATTAGAAAAAAGAGAATCTTACTTTTATATCTTCTTAAATTCTTTATTCTAGCGCTTAATCTATTATTTCTAATTACTATTAATAATTAAAAGCGCTATATATATATAATAAGATATTCTAATAGATATATAGAATAATAGAGATAATTTAATATAAATATAGATATAAATATATAGAATAATGAAAATGTTATAATAAGAATGAAGAAATAAGCGATATAAGTAAGTTTTTATTTAGAGTTATACGCTAATTACGCTAACTATATTAAGTTCGCATATCGATGATCCTCGCTTAAACCGTCGGCCTCTAAGGAGAAGGATTCTCAGTGGATACATTTCGCGAATAAAAAGGACTTATAATCGCACATCGGTATAGCTCTGAAGCTGTGACTACTCTACGCCCTTATAAACTTACCTAACTTTTCCGTTGCACCAGTTTTCTACTATCTGACTTGTAATAGCATCTTTAATGGCCCCTTATATGTGGCCCTCAACAGCCAAAGGGGACAAAGATCCGTCACCTGCAGGATTCGCAGGTACTAGTACGCTTAATGACTTAAAATGTATGAAAATATAATCAAATCAATCGCTTTATAGATCAAGCCTTCACACCGTGCCAAGATTATGATATATCAAAGCATTGGCCATCATAATCAATGCTGAAGACGATTGAAGATCTGGCATCTGAACTTTGTCTTGGCGGCCATTGAGCGGCGGGGGATCTTCAACCTCGCATTTTCGGGACTCGCATTTTCGAGAGTCATAAGAACTCTTTATAGCAGTGTCATAATCATTATACTATCGTCTACGCTGGCGGGACCCTCATGCTTGTTGACTCACCGGATCTATCTTACAGCATACAAACCGAAAATAACACCAGATTTTCTTCGGCCATTTAGAAGAACATGCTCTGCACCGTATCCCACCATGGGCTCCTTACCAGCTTCAACCAGCACTGACCCTCCCAAAGGGGCCTCACAGTCTCCTTCAGAGGTTACATACCATGGTAACACTTACAGTATTGCGAGGGAAGGAGCGGCGGAGATACTCGATCTAAAGCGAGAAGCGGACCCTAAAGCTACGAAGAACAAATCTCAATCCGTTTTCTACAACCCGATACAACAATACAATCGCGACCTTAGTGTCCTTGCTATCAAAGCATTCGGAGACGACTTGGCCGCTATTCGGAGAGCTCGACATGAAAGAAGGATAGAAAAAATAGCTCATGACAAACAGCGAGGACAGAAGAGGAAGAGGCCGCAAGCTGAAGGTTCAAAAGACGAGGAGGAGCCTGTGGCTACTAGGAACAAGAGTGATGAGGGCAAAGTTCCTATAAATGATGCGGTGGGAGGAGACTCGGCGGTAGAGAGGGCAAGTACAGAGCACGAAGCCCCACTCACAGAGGCTGATGGGGATGCTCAAGGAGAACAGAAGTGGCCTTGGGAGGTACACGACGACACAAAAGCAGGAGATAAAACCACGAAGGGACACATAACAGATGGTGTTCCAACTGAGACTGGTGTAGGGAAGGGAGCCTATACGCATACTGCCCAACCCCCTTTTCGAATTCTTGACGCTCTGTCCGCTACTGGTCTACGAGCTCTACGTTACGCCAAAGAGATTCCTATGGCCACTACAATCACAGCCAACGATCTTTCCTCCTCAGCAACAACCTCCATCAAGCTCAACGCTGAGCACAACAAGCTCTCTGACAAAATCAACCCTACAACAAGTGATGCAATAGAGCACATGCATCGAGCTGCTGCTCGTGCTGCAGGAGGCGCAATGCACTACCATGTCATCGATCTGGACCCATATGGCACAGCAGCTCCATTCTTGGATGCAGCAGTACGTGCTATTGTCGATGGCGGCCTTCTCTGTGTCACGTGTACCGATGCTGGGGTCTTCGCCTCTCTTGGCTACCTTGAGAAAACGTACTCACAGTATGGCGGCTTGTCTTTGAAAGGACCACACGCTCACGAAGGCGGTCTTCGTCTCATCCTCCAGGCGATCGCCACATCAGCTGCAAGATATGGCCTCGCCATCGAACCTCTCCTATCTCTCTCAATCGACTTCTACGCCCGGGTCTTTGTCCGTATCCATCATTCACCGGTTCAAGTCAAGTTCCTCGCCAGCAAAACCATGATCGTTTATAATTGCGATGCAGGCTGCGGAGCATGGTCGGTCCAACACCTTGCCCGTACGCGCGAAAAGAAGGCCAAGAACGGAGATACATTCTATAATTTTAGTCCCGCAGTGGCCCCGTCCACAAATACGCATTGTGAGCATTGCGGATTCAAAACGCACCAGGCTGGACCAATGTGGGGTGGTCCCCTTCACAATTCTCATTTCATTCAACGCATCCTAGACATGCTCCCAGCCCTTGACAAGTCCATCTACGGCACAATCCCTCGCATCCAAGGAATGCTTTCAGTCGCGCTCAACGAGACCCTCGAAGACCCTCTCTCGTCGTCCGCTGCCGAGCCTGGCGCCTCATCCGAAGCATCGACTGGACCCATACCTCCTACTAATTCCGCGACTCGTGCTCAGCATCCATTCTTCTTCCTTCCCTCCGCTCTCTCTCGCATTCTTCACTGCGTCTCGCCATCCGACGCCGCCATTCGTGGTGCCCTCATAGGCCTTGGCTACCGTACTACGCGCTCACATACCAAAGCCGGTAGTATCTGCACTGATGCACCCTGGAGCGTTATCTGGGAGGTCATGAGGGAATGGGTCAGGCAGATGAGCCCAATCAAAGAGGGAGTGCTTAAAAATGGAATGGCAGGATGGGCAATCATGAAAAAAGATAGAGGGAGCGCGAAGCTAATGGATGCGAAGAACGAGCTGCGGCAAGCACTGGAGAATGACGCCATTACCGATGTGGTAGGATTGAAGAAAGAGGTGGAAGCCGCCCTATACCGGCTGTCCAAGCCAGAGGAACCGAGCAAGGAGTGGGAGGACCCTCGTGGCGACGAAGATGGAAGAGTGGAATTGCAGAGTACTAATGCTGCGGGAGCAGGGGAAATTGGGGCTGTGCTTAATCCTGAAGCCGAAAACCGTGAAGACGGCCCAAGAGATAAATCTCTACATCCAAGCAAGCTCAAAATCGTGTTCGACGAAAAGCTAGGAAGGGAACCGCAAAGGAATCGCATGGTCAGATATCAGCTCAATCCAAAGCCGGATTGGGGCCCTATGAATAGGGCGAGGGGTGATCCCTAGAGTCAGCTGCGAGCTATGCTGATTTAGATATGCGGCCTTTTGCGACATCTATCTGTAGGAGTTGCTTGTCCTGTCATCAGGGCGCCATCAATCATAGAGCCCGATCGCGCGCTCTAAAGTTGAGAGATCAGCATCCCGCAGACTAGCATCTTCCATGCAAACAAGTCAAACGAATCTAGACATCGGCTTCCTGTCACGTTCCACGCTATTGTCACTGCAAGGAGAAGACATCTGTCCCTGAAGAAGCTGAGTCTCAACAATGATTGCATCCCTTCACCTACGGACGCCTGTTCACCACACAGGAAGCATCATGTCTACCAACAAGGCAAAGAAGGCGGGGACCAGAACCAGCTTCCGCACATGTGTATTGTCACAACGTGGAACCATATGATCAGCTGAAAAGAGGACAAGAGTAGAAGAGGAAGCGGCACCACTTCCCAACGCCACCACTCCATATGGCCATACATCAAGTACCCGCTTTTTCAGATTGGTAGTGGCAGTCAATGGTTTCCAAACTCTTAACATTTCATCCACAAGAGGCATGAATGAGCCTATGGAAATGAAAGGGCAGGATAGGAAAGGCAAGGGAAGGATATCCGCTTCATGCCCTGCCTCGATCGAGTACACGCCGCGCAGATCTACCCTTAAGCCGCCGGCAACATCCGTGTCGGTGTTTTACCTCTGTCGGCCATGCTGCCGCATCTTGGGCAAATGAGAAGGAAGGAAGGATGTAACGTGCCATCTTCTGGGACACACCTTTGTAGGATCCGATCTTGATTCATTTGGACAAGGCAGCGTAATCATGTGGCCAGTCATGGATCACTGACGCCCACACTTTGGATATACGGCAGCCGGGTGTCAATTATTGATGCAATACCGGAAAGCCGAGAGATTCATGGTTGTTATAGGCATATGTGCTGCCATTCCTGGGTTCCTCCTCGGCCGGGGTTGAGACTTCCACGAGGCTCAGAAGTGTGCATATGCTGAACATACGTATACTTTACCAACTTACGGGTTTTCGGGGTAGCTGGACACCGTCGCCCCCCAGGAAGGTTGCTGGAGGTATTGGTGGACTTAGGGTCGGAAATTGGGAGGGGTTCGGGTGAAGAGGCATATATGATCTTTTCTTAGCCTCGGCCGAGCTGTCAGCTCCGGTAATGCCGGCGTTGCAAGAGACGTTCTTGACCAAGACCCGAAAGCATTAAGTATCGCATTTCATCCAATTCCCTTTTCCCAACAGTCACTGAGCGGTACCGCGGCTCACGGCTCGATCGATAAGCGCGCCATAGTGAAAGTGCAGCGGTAGATGTTGGTCTTGTTGTTGTACTTTACTTACTTTATAGCGGAGGTTGGACCGTAGTCGCGAGCTCGGGTATTTGGATCTCGGTTACTAGTGTAGGGCTGAAGATTCAGGAGATATACATACGGTATCTACGAATATGTAGGTGACGTCGATATTGAAATTTTCCAT